GGGGTTGGGGGGGGGGGTGCTTTGTCACCTGCATTCCTGGGTGGGCCTCAGCAGGGGCCCCGGTGCCAGTGTCAGCCCAACCCCTGGTAACAGCCCTGGCAAAAGCCCCATGGGTCAGTTTCCACCCCTTTTGGCTGAGACATGGCCCTAAGTGTGTTTCCAGGATCATCCCTTCTGCAGGGTTAGCTGATCGTGAGATGTCTTGTCGTGTGGGGACCAAATTGCGCCCAGTGTAGCCTCAGTAACGCAGCTCCCCCTGCCCTCTGGCCAAGGGGCCTGCCCGCGGTCTCTGCCCCCAGCTGACAGCAGTGTCCTCCGTGTTGGCCAATGGTCTGGGTTTCGGCTCACGTCTGCTGGTGCAGGGTCCGAGGGGGACACTTCCAGCCGGAATGACTGGAATTCCCTCCGGGACAGAGGCCTGGGCTTGTGGGAGGAAGGGGTTTGGCAGCTGGGCCAGGTCACAGAAACACGTCGGGTGACGTTGCAGTTGGAGAGGCTGTCCCTAAAATACAGCGCCAAGGGTCCAGCCCGAGCACGGGACCTGGAGCGCAGGCAGCCCTGGCCTCTCTTCCCTGGACGGGTCCCTCCCGCGCCTGGAACACGGTCCCACTGCTCCTCAGGCAGCTCTGCCTGGCCGTCCCTCACGGAGAGTCCCGGTTCCTTCCCTGGTGCCCGGTCCCCACGAAAACGTCTGCATGTCCTTGTCAGATGAGACTGTCCTGGCTGTGTGTCTGTCCCTCCTGAACCGTAGCGCTCATCGCGAAATGCTTCTCGTCCTGAGCTGGGGACCAGGGGCTCAGAGCCTTTGCTGTCCTGAAGATAGGGGCTCCAGAGCCCTGTGGGGACAGGCAGGGAGCAGCAGTGGGGGTTTGGGCACCGGGCGTCCCGGCAGGCGGGGCTGGGGGACGCAGGAGGAACTCCCGTCTCACAGCAGGTGGAACTGGGGGCTCCAGCCGAGTCCCTGTGTCTTGGGGCAGGGATGCTCCTCGAGCCTGTGAATTGGGGTGGAGTTCAGGCACAGGGCTTGGTCTCTATCACTGGGTTGTGGTGAAGGTTGGGGGGCTGAAGGCAGGTGGGCTGCTGGCCAGCCATTAGCAGGTTCCCGTCCCGTCCACCTGAACGTCCGGGGGGGCACGGTGAGTTCCTGATGGCGCCACCTCTGCTTCTCCTCTGAGATCGGCCCAGTTTCAAAGGTAGTGGACTCCTGTCCAAATCCAAATTGCTCCATCTGTGGAGCCGCGATGGGCCTGGCAGGGCCGGGAGAGCCAGATGAACCTGAGCAGGCCTGGCCAGACCAGCAGCTGTTCCAGCCCAGAAGGTGACCAGGTTAGCCAAGCTCTGGGCCTAGGCCTGAACCACAGCCCAGACTCGTCTGCTGGCAGCGATTTCCTGCGGGTCTGGGCTGTAGGACTATGGACACTCTGCATGGTCAGCGTGGGTTCTGTGGCCCAGTTGTGCCGCTGGGTGGCTTTGTTGGGCCTTCAGGTATTGCGGGACACGCAGGTGGAGGAGAGGTGTGGGGCAGCTCCATGGGCACGCGGGGGAAAGGCAGGCTGGGGGTGGGGTACATGGGCCTCCGGGGGAAGCATCCTGCTTCAGGGAAAGAAACACAAGGTCCGTCTGCCCACCCCTTAGCTTTCTGCCATGAAACGTCATCACCCACAGATTCTCACGTGGGGACTTAGACTGACACCGAGGCGGGACGTGTGCGTCACCGCTTCTGGGCAGGGTGGGCTCAGGAGGCCAGGACGCCCCTGCAGGCCAAGGCTGTCAGCCCCTGTGCCTACGAGTGACAGAAGCTCCGGAGGGTCCAGCCACCTGGCCCGGCCCCTGCTCCTGCCTGCGGGGCCCCTCCCACCGAGGCTCACCGCCGGACCGCGTGCCGCTGGCTTGGACAGATAGTCCTGTGTCGAGGTCCAGGAGCAACGTCACAGCCCTGCAGACAGCGGCCCCTGGCCGTTGGAGGGAGGACAGGAGAGTGAGGAGACTGCTCCATGGGGAGTGGGCCTCTGTTGCCTCATCTGTACGATGGGGGGTCCCCACACCCAAAGCGCTGTGCCAGGCGCACTGTTCACCCTTGTTCCGTTGCTTTCGGCGGCACAGGGCTGCTTGGGCGTCAGTGTTGCTTCGGGAACAGAAAAGTATCTTGAAACTGTTGGTTTGCGTTTTTAAAGAACAAGAAACTAACTGTAGATTCGGCCTTTCCTGCCCGCAGTCCGAGGTTGTGAGTGCTCTTGGTGGGAATCACACAGCTTCTGTCTGTCTTTGCGCCCCCGCCTCCGACAAAGCCTGTGCCGGAGCCTCAGGAGGCGCTGAAAGGGGGCGAGTGAGCTGTGTGGAAACGCACGTGTGGCGCAGGGCCTGGCCGCGGTCTGCAGGGCGGCTCACGTGGCTCCCCGCCTCCGCGGGGTCCTTCAGTGGGACCCCTGGGTCATTCTGAATGGAACACGGGTCGTGAAGTTACGAAATCCAGCGCAGCTTCCTGCTGTGTCAGTAGCCAGCCTCGGGGCCGAGGGGCGTCAGCGGTGCGGAGCCGACAGACCCTGAGTGGCCTCTGGGCCATCCTAAGCAGGAGGAGCCAACTTCTGCTGACAGCCTGCTATGTGCCAATGGCTGTCTCTGCTCCCCAGAGATCGGCTGAGCCTGGTGCCCAGGGCCCCCGGGCTCTCCCACCCTCTGGGCTGCTGCGAGTGGTTAGCTCCCTTACTGCAGACACTCTGTGAGCCTGGCCCAGGGCTTCAGCGTGGGAACCCGCAATGGGCCTGCAGCGTCACCCCTGGCTTCGCTCTGGACCCGCCCTGGTTGTTCCAGCCACAGGAGCCTCATCCGGTCAGTCCCACGTCCCTGCCCGCCTGCTGGGCTCACAGGTTGCGCTCACCTGGATCCCGCCTTCCCCAGCAGACCTGGGACAGGAAGTGCCCGGAGATAAATGACGGGATTAATGGCTCCATCCCCATCAGTGCAGGAATGTGGAGAATATTCCGATGCCTAATGCTCTATCTGGAAGGGATCCCACACATCACACGATCGGAGTCCAAGTCCTTGGCAGGTTCTCCGGAGAGTCTGTGGTTCAAGCACTGGCAGCCGACCAAGGCCTCCTCACCAGCTCCCATTCGCTCACCGCCCGCCAGCCCCGAGGGGAGGGCACCTGAGGCTTGTACTCCAGGTGGGGGAGCTGGCCTGGCCTGCGCCCCGAGGGGCTGGGATCTCCAGGGTCAGCCCCGGGCTGTGGGCCTCTCTGAGGGTCGCGGAGCTCAGCGTGGACTGGACCTGGCAGGACGAGCAGACGCGTTACCCACACAAAGGAGGGCGACACCGTCTGTGTGCCTGTGTGGAGCCTGTGTCCGTGAGCCCACCGGGTTTGGCGGCACCAAATGCAGCAGAGGGTCTGCAGGTGCTCCGACCCCCTTCTGTCCCCAGACACCGCCTGCTCCTGCCTCCCCTGAAGAACCTCCTCCTTGTGTTTGTTTTATGTTTAACTTCTAGTTAGGGAGGCGTGGAGCCCGGACAGGAGCCTGTGCCTTCAGCACCGGCTCCACCACAGGGCCCGGCGGCCACTGCAAACCTCCCGCATCGCTCTGAGCGCTTCTCGGGGATCGTATCCTGTTACGTAAACCTCACACCGTGTAACTTAGGAACATTTTCAGTGTATGTCTCTAAAAGAAGTCTTAAATATGTAATGAATATAGAACATTATGTAGAATACGGCCACACCTGCTCTGCTCCCTGACCCCGCACCTGAGTGTCCCGCACCTGGAGCATCCCGCACCTGGGGCATCCCGCACCTGGGGCATCCCGCACCTGGGGCATCCTGCACCTGGAGCGTCCCGCACCTAGGGCATCTTGCACCTGGGGCGTCCCGCACCTGGGGCGTCCCGCACCTGGGGCATCCCGCATCTGGGGCGTTCCTCCGTTCTCTCCACACGTACAGACTGGCTCCATCAGAACTCGAGTCCTCCTTAGCTCTGCCTCGTCCTTGCTTGGAGGCTCCTGTCGTCAGAACCGCTCAAACCCGGCGGTGCTCCCGAATTCTGTACTTGCTGCCAGCACCTCTCCGGGGAGAAGGCAGCCGCTTGTCCTAGATTTCCTCGGCACCCTCGGCCTGGGCGGTGATAAACACAAGTGGAGCACATCAGTAGTTATTGTGGGGACACCGCGAGATCCAGATTTTACGTCAGGGGCTGCCCCCAATTCAAGCCTCTCTGAGACCCCAGAGTGTTGGGCTCAGGCCGGCACCTCCCCCAGCAGAGCTCACGCTCGTCGGGTGGGGGTTCCCTAACGCTGCGGCACAGGTCAGCCCACACAGCTGCTGAAACAGCGCCTGTCACCTCACAGTCTCTGGACTCCAGGCCTGGCTCAGCTGGGCTCCGCTTCGGGCCTGTGCCACGGGGTCAGCGAGGACGGCCTGCCGTGTGCCCTGGAGGCTGGGCCAGGGAAGGTCATTCCTAAGCTCACTGCCATGGTTGTTGGCTGGACTCGGTTTCCTAGGCTGTTGGGCAGAGGCCTCCCTGAGCTCCTTGCCTTGGGAGCCTGTCCATCGAGCCTGTCACACAGGCGGCGGCCTCCTCAGAGTGAGCGAGTGGGAGGGCGAGGGGGTGCGAGCAGGAGGGGCACCGGAGAGCCGGCCCGTGCCTGTGTCCTGGGCACAGTGCCACCCCCACCCCCATCACAGTCCATGGGTCAGAGCCCGTTGGGGGAGGGGATTGCATGAGGCGGTGAGTCCCAGCGGGCAGGGTGGTCAAGCGGCTCCGTGGCCCATCATGGCCACGTCCAAGGCTTGGAAGGCAGAGCCCGGGCCTCACCTCCGCTGCTCTCGGCTCATACAGGCACCGCGGGGAGACGGACATTTAAACCTGCCGGCACACGGGGACGCGACCCCTCCGCGTCTGGGGGATAGAGCCCAAATGTGCCCCCACTAGGCGATCGGTGGACGCGGGGCCCGGCTGCCGGAAGGACGCCTCTGCTGGACTCGCACCGACCGCCTGCTCTTTGCTCTGCCACGACGGACTTCATCTCAAGCAGCCGCCTCTTACAAGAACTGAAACAGGGCCAGACAGAGCAAGCGTCCCAGTCCCACCCGCTGGACCGGATATTAAAGTTCGCCATCCAGGGCCTTTCCTGCGACCCCCATCTACAGTTCTGTAGCCTGCGGCACAAAGCATTGATTTTCTTGGAAACAGTTTTTGTGACCAGTTTCCTGATTTCTCTTAAGTTTCCTTAGAGTTGTTTCTGTTCTGGCTGAGCAGTGAGGTCACAAGAGGGAAGCCTGGGGTTGGGACTCGGAGGGAAGGACAGTGGCAGGAGCGAGAGGTGGCTGGTCTGAGGCTGCTCCGGGGCCCAGAACCCTGCCCTTGAAGTCCCTGCCCCCCACGCCTGGAATTCTGGGAGGGGCCCTGCTCACCCCCATCGGGCAGTCGGTCAATGCTTCAGAATAATCATCTCAGGCACGTTCAGAGAGCATTGTGACCGGAGCCTATTGTTCTCCTGACACCGAATGCCAGGCTGGGGGTCAGAAGGTGACTGGCCCTCACCCGTCAGTCAGCAGACCCCACGTGCACACTGCGGGCGAGGACCCATCGGGTCCCACCCAGCAGTGACTTCCCGGAGTCGGGCTCCTGGGGCCTGCGGCCTGGACACCTGCCCTTTCCAGGAGCCAGAACACACATCTCGGGCCCACACGCCTTGTCTGTGCTCACCCACCTTTCTCCTCCCTGCCAGTGCCATCATCAGAGGTCTGTTACCTGCCGTGTCTCATGGCACAGAAGCCTGTGCTGGAGGTAGCTGGTGGGCACAGCAGGGACTTCAGCCTGAGGACATCGGTGCGGGGGGCTCCGCTGCCCAGGATGGGACCAGGGGCCCCTGTCCAGCGCATGTCGACCGCAGCGCAGGGACTCACGGGCCCCTGGCTCCCGGGGGACCTCCCGAAGCTGCCTGTGGACGCCAGCGTCAGGGGCCTGTTCCTCCTACCCCTGCACCCCTCAGGCTGGCTTCCACGGTGCCTTTGGGAATGAAACTGGGGGGGGGACCCCGCATGGACGGTTCCCGCCCGCAAGCAGGGTAATGGCCGCGTCCATTCTACCTCTCACATTTTAATTGCATGACAGTAATTCTGCGATAGAGTTGCCGACGGCAAACATGCAGGAGACATTAACTTTATTTATGTTTTGGGTTATTAATGTGGCTGTTGAAATTCCTCCAGTTAGTTTTGATTGAATTGTTTTTTTGCGCGGTTCTGTTGTTTAATGGAGCGGTAAATAAGAATTTCTGATAATGAACCCGAGCATCTGTCACAACAACCTGGTGTGGTTATTAACATTCCCATTAGCTCGGGGTGGGCGTGATGTGGGCACCGCGCAGTTAGAGCAAAACAAATGTGGGTGTCAGGACGAGCGGGTGTTAATTACTATTTTACTCCGCACTGAGGCCGGGGAGCCGCGGGGAAGGGGGGCTCGGGAAGGTGCTTCTCTCCCGAGGCCTCCTGGGGAGCCGGCGCGCTGGGCTGTGTCCCTCGGCAGGGCCGGCCTCGCGGTCTCCACTCATGGCCGGTAAACAGGCTCGAGTCCGCAGGCAGCGCTCCGAGGCCCACAGGCCTGGTGTCAGCATGTGTCAACCACAGTCACACGCTGCAGATGATGAGGGAGGGGCCCACTGGCATCCGGGACACACAGGTTTCAGCAGGTTTCATAGGGGTTGCCAGGGAGGGAGAGCAGAGGGGGTCCCAGAGAACAGAGGTCCCGCCAGGGTGCCCCACGCGGAGAAGTGTCCTGAACCATGCCCGTGAGTCCTCGGTGTTGATCCAGCTTCCCGGGGGCTGCCTGGGAGGCTGTGGGGGGAGACGGCCACGGTGTCCCTATCTCACAGTGTGGCCCTGCTGACACCAGCAGCACCCCGCGTGGAGGGGGAGCAGAAGTGAAGACGGGGGCCTCAGAATTTGAAGCCATAGGGGCCTCGCTGAGGAGCATGTCGAGATGAAATCTGTGTCTGCGTCCCTGCTGGAGGGGCACCTGCGCACTGCAGACCAACTCCACCCGGAACCGGGACCCCGGGGCCCCGGGACCTGTGCTGGGAACCGATGCTTCCTTCTCAGCTCCACCTGCGGCTTCCCAGCTCTCAGGGTCCTGTGCTCGTCCCGCTTAATGTCACAGCTGCCCGTGGGCCAGGTCCTCGGCCTGAGCTCGTGTCTCGGTCAGGGAGCACGTAGGTTCGGGAACTGTGCTGTGTCTGTGTCACCGGTGCTCTTTGTAGCCCTGGTTGTATTTAGTGCATTGAGGAGCGTGATCGGGGCAGGGTTTTCGGGGTCCCCAGCGTGGAAGCTGCAGCTGAGGGCAGTCTCGGGCCCACGCCTGTGAGCCGCCCCTCAGCCCCGTGCTCTCTCCCCAGCCCCGGCCATGGCCCCGCAGAACGTGCAGGTGAGCCCGCTCACGGCCAGCCAGCTGGAGGTCACCTGGGACCCGCCGCCGCCCGAGAGCCAGAACGGGAACGTCCAGGGCTACAAGGCAAGGCTCTCGGCTCCGCTCGGCGCCTCCTCCCAGGTCACCATGGGCCGGGAGGGGTGGCCTAGGCCCCAGATGGAGTCTAGCCCCGTCCATGCTTCTGCCCTCCGATCGCTTGGTTCCCTGGCTCCCGTGCCAGGTGCACAGCCGGCCGTCAGCCCGCAGAGCTGTGGCCATACTGAGCGCCAGGAGCAGGCCGCCCAGCCTCACCTCCTGGCCGGTTTGTCCCCGGGCCTCTCCCCGCCGGCCTGGCCAGGGAACCCTTCCCCCTCCCGCCCCCATCTGGGAGTCTCCAGCGTCTTTGCTGGCAATAAGACAGAGCTCTGAAGAAAACAGCTTCCCCATCCCAGCTCTGCCCCTGGGTCACTATTGGATGGTGCATGAACCCTCTTGATTTTGTGGGTCCAGGGGGGCCCAAGAATTTGCAGTCTTAACAAGTTCCCCCCAGGGGGGTAGTCCTAGGAACCCCACTTTGAGAACCACCGTACTAAAATGCTATGATTCCACATTAGCTAAAGATGCCAGAGAAGGGAGGAGAGAAAGGCAGCCAGCGGACCAAGAAGAGTTTGGGGTGACAAATGATTGGACAGTTGGGTGACCCGGGGCAGGAAGCGCCTTGCCCCGGCCTGTCTGCGTAGAGACCCCCTGAAACCACCCTGGAGAAACAGCCCGAGCCGTCCCAGGAAACCCCCCACCCTCCAAATGGATTTTCCCGTCTGGGCTGCTGGAGCCCAAGTTGGTCCGTCATCAGATTCTATGAGCTAACCTGCCCTGATGACTATTGAACCAATTAAATGTCCATTTAAAATGATTTTCGTAGGTGTTTCATGAAAATAAATGCCCTCCTCCGTGGCAGGGCCGTTCCAGTGATTAATGAGGTAATGGAGAGGCCCGGGAGCTGCGAGTCAGGATGCCATTTGTGTACGTCCAGAATATGTTTTCTAATTTCCTTAACGATGAAGACATCGGACGTGGCTATTGATCTCGTTAGGAAGGGCTACCCCGGCCCAGGGCTTCCTCCGGGCAGCTCAGAGCACAGACACTGGGCTCTGTCACAGGCGGAAGTCGGCGATACCCGCCTGGCTGGCACTGCCGGGCAGCGGCTCCTGGCCAGCTGTCCAGGGAAGCAGTTCTGGTGACCTCTGCAAACCTTGGTCCTGGATGTCAGGTTCACCCACAGCCACATAAGCTCGGCAAGGGGGCCTGAGATCCAGGGAAAAGCAGTTGTCCCCACAGTGCTGAGCCCGACAGGTTCTTGTCCATGTTCCTTCCTTGTTTTAATACCCAGTCTGGGGCCATGTTGACCGAAGGCTTAGGTGTGAGCCTTGAATGAGACCCAGGAGCTCAGGGTGGACCCTGGGGCCCATCCACAGGCTGGAGCAGAGTGACATGGTTGGGGTCCCTCCTCTCCAGAAGCCCGAGGAAAGGCAGACGTAAACGAAGACGCCAGCAGCATGGCTCTGCAAGAGCAAAGGGACTGTCCTGGTCACTGAAGGAGGGCATTACTCCGTTCTCAGACCCCCATCCCCACAGCATGGGCTTCCCTTAGGCAGACTCAGACTCTAGATGGACACTCAGAAACGCTCCTCACCAGCTCCCCAACCACACGAGCAGCTGAGGACATCTGTCCGCCCTGGCACTGCCCTCGCCACCCCTGATTCTGCAGGAGAAGGTGCCCCTCCGCCTCCCACTCAGGGCCGTTGCACCCTGGGGCGCGCTCAGGCCCCACTCTCTGGCTGGAAACAGGACGCACCCTCCCCATGCCCACCTCCGACTTCTCGCTCTAACAGGTTTACTACTGGGAGGCGGACAGCCAGAACGACACGGAGAAAATGAGGGTGCTGTTCCTGCCCGAGACCCTGGTGAAGCTCAAGAACCTGACCAGCCACACCCGCTACCTGGTCAGCATTTCCGCCTTCAACGCTGCTGGAGATGGGCCCAAGAGCGACCCCCGGCAGGGACGCACCCACCAGGCTGGTAGGAGAAGCAGCCGCGTGTTTTTTTCTCACAGGCCTCTGTTGGACGCTCCCTTTGAGAGCAGCTCCCCTTGTCCCTGTTCGCAGGGCTCTGCTCTGCCTGGCCTGTAAGGCATGGACACTGCGGCTGGGAGCCTGTGGAGAGGCAGCCACATCTGGGCTGGGACCACGTGGGTCCCCAGGGCCTGGCTCAGCCTGGTCACAGTGGGGCTCCATAAGTGTCAGCCAGACGTGAGCAATGTGTGCCTCCCCCAGGGTCGCCAAGGGCATGAAGGGCTCTGCTCTGCACCTAGAACACATCCCAGCTCCTTTAGGGTCTCCTTGTCAGACCCACCAGCTAGCGTGTTCTCATCGCCAGGGAGTGGGCTCCTTGTGGGTTGAGCCCAGGCCATAGTATCGGACACTGCCCTGGGTCTGGGGCCGCAGACCACCCCTGGAAAGAACTAGCCAGCTGCCTCTCAGTCACACGCCCTGACCGGTCCAAATGTGTGGATGGGGCTGAGCCGCCAGGTGGCACGCACAGGGCACAGTGTAGGCTCTGAGCGGTCACCCACTCTTATGGTGCTTCTCAGAGTTTCCTAGTGGCCTGGAGAACATCATGAAGCTGATTCAGTATTTCAAATACCCAGGGTTCTGGGAGCTCTGAGAGGCTCCTGATAGGACCTGGGAGCCTAAGGCAGGGAGAGGGAGGTTAGGGGGCCTGTAGGGTGACACCCTCCCGAGATAATTCATTTCCTGGGGTCGGGCTCCCGAGATAATTCATTTCCTGGGGGCACGACCATCGGCACAACTGCTTCCTTTGGGCTTCCTCCAGCAGCTGAGACAGGCTGTGTACAGGTGCTGGGCTGGAGGGCCGTAGGCAGGCCTGAGGGGCAGGGAGTGGGGGCAGGGGCCTCGCCAGGGCACTGGGGGCCTGGCAGGTCTCAGGACCTAAGGGCCCCAGGACTGGAGGGGGGAGGCAGGAAGGTTCCTGAGCACCCAGGGGAGCTGGAGGAGAGTCATCCCCACCCAGGCCATCAGGGAGGGGCACCTCTGGACACCAGCACCCACCCTCACTTTCACACAGACCCCAGGCAGAAGCGGGGGGAGGGGTGCAGTGTGGTGTAAGCAGGGACGGCTCTGCCTGGCCACATGCCCGGCCTTCTGTGTCCGTGGTTGTGTCCCCTGGCTCAGGATGCTCCCCAGCTCCTCCTCTGCCTGACCCAGCGGGTCCCCTGAGAGGGCAGAGCGCCAGGTGGGATGTCAGATGAGGGCGGGGAGGGTGTCCTCCAAGGCTTCCAGGCCCTGCGGGTGGAGAGAGGCGGGCAGAGCCTCAACGGTCACTGAGCCGTCTCCCTGATGAGCAGGACCACGGCCTCCAGGACCTCCAGCAGCAGCTGGGAAACGACCCACATCTCGTCTCCGTTTCAGTCCATTGTTATCATAGGTGTCTGTGCCTTTGCCATCCTACCTCTGAGGCTCCTCTGTGCCCCCCCTCTCCTCGAGGGCCTGGGTTCTGGGTGACACAGGGAGATCCCAGAGGATCAGCACTCCCCTCCCATCCGCGGCGTTCTGTGGAGGGGGATGGTCTGTAAGGGCTTCGACGACAGCCCCTGTGTTCTGTTCCCGCAGCGCCCGGGAGCCCCAGCTTCCTGCTGTTCTCAGAGATCACCTCCACCACGCTCAACGTCTCCTGGGGTGAGCCGGCCGCCGCCAACGGCATCCTGCAGGGCTACCGCGTGGTGTACGAGCCCTTGGCCCCCGTCCAAGGTAAGGCCGGACGGAGCAGGACACGGGGGGCGCCTCACAGGTGCACAGCACCCCACAGTCTAAGGAAGGGGTGTCGGGGGGGTAGAAGGGGCAGAGTACGTGTGCTTGGGTGTTGGAGGTGGAGCCAGGGGGATGTGCCCGGATTCGATGAAGGTGAGAGACAGGAGCTGGGAAGTGGGTGGCCTGGGTGGCTGTCACACTCTTGTCCCCCGTATGACCGCGTGACCACTCGCAGCTGAGTGAGCTCTCACCTGTCCACCTCTGCTCTCCCCGCCTGCTCGCTACGTGACCGATGGGGTTTCTTTCCCGCCCGCTGTGGACCAGGCTCCTGGCTCTAGAGAAGGCAGATGAGCCTGGGGCAGGTTTCCCCGGTAACGTGCACAGATAGGCCGTAAAAATTCCGGGTATTTCGTGGCTGGGGGGGCACATAACCCGCACATCAAACAGCATCAGCTCCCCATTTAAAGCCCTGATGGAAGCTTCCTTTTAAAGTGAGTGCATCCAGTAAAACAGGGAGTTGGCCTGAAGAAGAAAATTTAAGCACTGGGTTTGTTCCAACCGGACCTGGGTGCCGTTGACCGTGAGATTCACTGTTATTTTATGAAGAGCTAAGAGAAAAAAACGCCCCCAGTAACCTGTGGCCCAGGACGCCTGCATCGCCAGTGCCGAGCTGTGTCTCCAGCCAGGGATGTGAAGACATAAAGGGAAAGTTCTCAGACGGTCGATGCACTTGGGTTTACAGCAGTGCGGGGCCTGTGGGCCTAGTGTCTGAACCAAACAGGGCCCGGCACCTGCAGAGCCCCTTCTCCAGTGACGTGGGGCAGGGGCGGGCTCTGGGCGGGTTTCCCAGCTTCTCTTCAGGACTCAGGTTTGGAGGTCACTCCAGTGCAGTCGGTATCGCCCTGAAATAGCGTAGGAGAGACTAACTTAGCTGAACCCAGGTTTTATAAAAGGCATGATATGAAAACAGTGACCCCCGGAGGGTAGTGGGCAGCCCTGCTGTGGGTGCAGGGAGTGGATGGCCGGACGGGACAACAGGGACAGCTCTATCTGCGCCAGCTTCGTGTCTGTATCAGGCCGTCTCGGGACACATCCTTCCCCGGGGGAGACACCGGGAGACGTGCACCCAGAGCTGAGAAGCCTACAGTCAAGAGTTCGTGCAACTTTCTGTTAAATGCATTGTTTTCAAACGCATTTAACCAAAGAACCTCATTTCCCCCCAGAAAATGCTTCGTTTGTATAACTTTCAGCACATGTACTCTCAGAACGTTAAATCTCCGCTTTCTAATTACTCTTGACAGACCCAGCAGCGCTTTTGCTTCATTTACACACTCGTGAGTGAAAACCGCATAGTCTCTGTGGTCACAGTCCTCTGGGCCAGGCAGCAACACCCGCGGTGGCCACTTCATGTTGCTTCAGGGTCCACGAGTGAGGTGGCCACACGTTGCTTGAGGCCTTTAGGCCGCAGGTTGGCCGACCCCATGAGGCCGAGCCCGCCCGCGGGGAGCCCGCCCATGCACTGAAACGGGTGTCTTCTGCGCCTTCTGCCACGTTCTTCCTCCCCTGTGGCTCAGGAAGCTCAGGTCACCTGTGCTGGTGACACAGGCTTGGTTCAGTTCAGAGCCACGTGGGAAGAGACCCTCCAGAATGGCGTCAGGAGGCCTGAGCTGGGGACGGGCCCGTGGCCTCATGCCGTGGCCACTGGCTGGGCACTGTCCCTCGCCAGGATGTGAACAGGGTGGCCGCCTACCCCTCCTGCTGTGGGTCTGGCTCTTCCTCTCAGCACCCACTTATCAAGCTTAAGCCCTAATTACACTTACCTGTGCCAAAAATCGGCTATTATCACCCCTCACGCGCCTCCTGGTAGCAGCAGATCCTTCCTCAGTGGGCCGCGCTCTGGACGGCGCTCGGGCCGTCGCTAAACCGGCCTCTCATCTGTGCCTCTCTGCTCTAGGAGTGAGCAAGGTGGTGACCGTGGACGTCCAAGGGAACCGGCAGCGCTGGCTGAAGGTGCGGGACCTCACCAAGGGCGTCACCTACTTCTTCCGGGTCCAGGCGCGGACCATCGCCTACGGGCCCGAGCTGCAGGCCAACGTCACTGCGGGGCCGGCCGAGGGTGAGTGGACGCCCCCCATCACCACGGTAGGGACCTGTCGCGGAGCCGGCAGGGACTCGGGACTGGGGGGCACGTGGCTGTGCCCAGGGGCAGGTGCTGCACCCAACAGGTGGCTCGTTCGGAGCACACGAGCCGCATTGTAAGTGCTGCGTAAAGTCTTGATGTATTTTCTGGAAAAATGGAGAGAAAGTGAACTTGATTTCTTTTAAATCGTCAAGGATATGTTTTTCCATTGACTTTTTAGAGAGAGTGAGAGGGAGGGAGAGAGACATAGACATCGATGTGAGAGTCACACTGATTGGTTGCCTCCCACACGCACCCCAACTGGGGGTGGAGGTCAGACCCACAACCCAGGTCCGTGCCCTTTACCAGGAATCGAACCCACAACCCTCCGGTGTGCAGGCCGACACCCTGGCCAGGGCTGAATTTTATTTTTGAATAAAGATACTTAAGAAAATCTCAGCTTTCACGTCATGAGACGAGCCAGGCAGCTTCCCACTGAAACTTTCCGGCCTTTGTTTAAATCAGGTGGGGAACCTTTTTCTGCCAAGGGCCACTTGGATATTTATAACGTCATTCTCAGGCCATACTGAATGATCACTTAAAAATTAGCTCTGTTTGGTCAGACATTTAATGAACTTGCCCCTAATGCAATGGCTGGAACTGCTTCTCTTTGGTGAGGCCTTGGCAGGGTCAGGCCAAATGATTATATGGCCCGTGGGCTGGATGATCCCCACCCCTGGTTTAAATGCTCATGAAATCACGGGCAGCCACAGGAAGGCCAGCACAGCCCTGGGCACTCGCGTGTCATCTCTGACCTTCTCATCAGCCCCGCGAGTGAGGCCAGTGCGTCTGAGCGAGTCGGAGCCACCTGCCTGGAGAGCAGGAGCCAGGCAGGGCAGGCCCCCCGCTGGGGGCTGGGAATCCCCTGGGGCCAACATCTACCCTCCTTTCTGCTCTATCCACAGGCTCCCCAGGGTCCCCTCGAGACGTCTTGGTCACCAAGTCCACCTCTGAACTGACCCTGCGGTGGAGCGAGGGGCACGCCGGCCGGGCGCCCACCACAGGCTACGTCATAGAGGCCCGGCCCTCAGGTAAGGGTGGCGGGGCCCATGGGTGTCAGTCAGGCGCTGCCCAGGGAACAGTGTCCCGCTGAGTGTGTGAGGGTCTCGGTCTCAGCCCCGGGCCCTCCGCTCAGCGTTCCCCTTGCAGCCCGGACAGAGAGGGCACGTGTGTTGGCACAGGAGGCCTCTCACTGTCCTGAGCTGTTAGCTTCACAGCGTGTCCTCGTGTCTTACCCACGTGCACCTGCCCGGTGACAGTGTCATTCCCAGAACCATGCACATGAGAACTCGGAGACACCAGGACGTTTCCACCCTCCAGTGACACCCACCAGGGTTCCCAGGTCTCGTCAGGCCTGAGAGTTGTTTTCCCAGGTGGAAGAGCCGAGATCGTTTCTGACCTCCGTGAACATTCCTGTTAGTGGTCGGCTCCATGTCCGCGGCCTCTGAAAATGGTCTCAGGTCCCTCCCCAACCCACCCGCCGCAGTGGGGTCCCCCTTCCTCCCGCTCAGCTTCAGTAACTAAGGGTAGAAGTTACAGGGAAGTGACTCCTAATGGGCTAAGAGGGACACGAGTGCTTGGCGCTGGGGTCCACCACCTGCAGAGGACTTGAGCGCGCTCGCCGTGACCTTCAGACGCTGCGCAGCTCACCGTGAACACCTGAGCGTGAGAGCGCAGGACACTGGATGCGTCCAGAGGGCGCATCTCCAAACCATGCGTCCGACGGACACGGCACTCGGGGCCATGTTGGCCTAGTACTTAAAGATGCTGTGAGCCCAGGAGGGATGGTCCCAAGTTACACCCGTCACTGCGCCAGACGCCCCCTCCCTCCACCAAACCGCTTCTGAAAGACCCGTTATAAGTGCCTTCTAGAAACTTCTAAGGAGAAGCCTCGGTCCTAAGACCAGCATTTCCATTTAAAAGTGATGTGAAAATTCTTTGGCTCAAGAACCCACACGAGCAGCTCACCAGCCTGCGGGACCCTGAGGCTTTCTGCTGAGCAGGGCATTCGGCCCGTTCTGGAAACGGAGGTCCCAGTGGCCGGCCTGGGCTTGGCGAAGCCTCTGCGGTCACTTGGTCCCCACCCGAACCCCTGAAGGCAGAGAGCCCCCGGCACAGCCAGCCATCGTCCCTCTGCCGATGACATGTGAGGGAGCTGTTTCCAACAGTGACGGGAGCTGTGAATAAAGGGCCCCGTGAGGTCTGGGCCCACCCGAGGGCTGTGGCCTGTGGCCTGTGCTGACCTGCAGGGAACCGCTCCCCTCCCGGTTATGGCTGACAGGCGGCTTCGCTAACCCTCAGTCCCACCCCGGGGGACACGACAGAGCTCAGATCCGTGAGCTCAGGGAAAGTGCGTCTTTACTTTCACTGGCTCTCACTGGACTTCAGCGTGTCCCTCCCTCGAAGTTGCGGCTGTGCGGTTGGCTGTAACCAGTGCCTCCCACCGGCCCAGCTTCCATACAGAACCTACGTTCTCGCCTGGAGGCGGGAAGCGTAGGGTCAGGCTCGGCGGGGTCAGGCTCGGCGGGGTCGGGCTCGGCGGGCCGGTCCCTCTGCGGGCCGGTCCCTCTGCGGCCTTGGCAGAGGCTGCCCGGGCCGTGCCCAGCTCCGTGCCAGCTGTCAGCCTGGCCCGCCTGCCGCCTCCTCACCTGCCTTCCCCGGGCCCGCCGTCATTTCCCCTTTTCATAGGGACAGTCAGGTTAGGGGCGCATCCTAACGACCCGACCCTGACTAATCACATTGACAGTGACCCTGTTTCCAAATTAGGTCCCATTCTCAGGCCTTGAACCCAGTGAGGTTTTTGAGGGGCCAGTGACCGTGGCCCCTGAGAAACGTCAGGGGAGGCTCCACGCTGCTCTGCGCCGCCCCTTTCACGGCCGTGGTGCGTGGACCCCACCAGCCTTGTCGTGCAGGCCCCTGGGGGAGGGGTGGTCAGCTACCCCGCCTTCCACGGCGGCTTCCGAAGAACCAGAGCTCAGCAGGGGGTGCGAGGAAGCCCCCACGACGTGTGCCTGCNATGTGCCTCCCACGCAGGAGGCAGGCAGGGCTTCGCACGCGTTACCTCGGGGTAACTGTCACCCTCCCAATAGAACCGGGTTCCTTTCATTCTATTTCATGCACCGAAAACCGTTCTCAGACGGCGGCCTTCAGGGTCCAGATGGCCGGCAGGTCCACAGCACCAAGAGGAGAGGGGGGAGCCTCGCCCTGGATGCCCTCGGGAGACTTCCTGTGCCCCTGGCTGGAGAGTAAAGTCCCGGCAGCCGTGTGGCTAGAGGACGGCACGGGTCCCAGGCGACGGGAACTCTGGATTCCTCTGTGAGCTCTACATACGTATCTCCCATGGATCGCCTCCCCCACCCAGTCGGGGCACAGGCATCCTTGACACGAGCGTTCCACGTCGGGGATCAGCCTGCGGGGTCTGTGCCACGTCACCAGGCAGACGCCATTCAGGGCTGGGAATCCTGACCCCGGGGAGCACGTCCGGCACTTTCTGGGAAACGATCGGGTGTCAATTCTCGGGCTTTTCATAGCCAGCTCCCCAAGCTGGAGAGCCAGGGAATTTCTCCTCTGTTCCCTGTGCTCACCCATCTCCTAATGGGGGGAAAGGTGCCCACTGGCCAGAGGGCAGCCTCTGGGCGGGCAGGTGTGCGGACGGAGCTAATGGGGCTGCGGCCTGGCTCACCCCAAGCCCCCCATGGAGGCCAAGTCCAGGCTGAAGCCTCTGGAGTCACCGGAGTTGCAAGCTCAGCGGGTTGGAACCAGAACTCGGACACTGACCCGGGGGGGCTGAGACGGCCGAGCGCCCGCCCTGGAAGACGCTCTCAGCGAGCACCGGAGGTTCGCTTTCACTCCTGCTGTGCCGCTCGGCGCTCGAGCAGGCTGCCTGCAGCTTCCCTCCCGGATCGTGGGCAGATCCACCTTGCCACCGAGGGTGGGAAAGATGCCCGCCCCGCTGTGACCGTGCCAGTGGCGGCTCAGTCAGATGACACGCTCAATGGATTGTCAATATTTAAACACCTTGCCGGTGCCTCGGGCTTCGGATCTCAGCTGTCATCTGTTACAGGCCTCGCTTCATAAAACATTAGCCGCCCGCATCCCGTCTCCGCACCCACGCTCAGCAAGACTGTCTCCAGGAAGAGGTGCGGCTTCCGAAGGGAGCTTGGTTCTGGAACATGGGCCTGCGTGTCCTCAGGAGAGGGTATTTTTGATGGGGGGCCACCCAGCCATACTCGGGTTCCCTCACCCTCACCCTGGGTGTCTGGGAGACAGAGACACACTGTCCGGTGGTGCCACGGGCCCCAGCCATCGGTTCATCCAACATCTTCCCCCCTCCCAATCTCTGTCTTTTGCCCAGAAGATCACCAGCTTGGTGGCTGGTGCCAGACAGGTGGCCAGGGGCCTGGCAGCTGGGCGATGACAGTGCGGCCTCATTTTAACCCCTGCGCATTCTGCTGCGTAGCCCTGTTGCCTCCCGAAGGTGGAGACAGGCCTGAGCAGCAGCTGCAAGGCCGGCACCTGGGCAGGGCCGTGACCCCAGGATGCCACGTCCAACTCCACAGGACCACCTCACCAAGACTCGCTTCTCTGGCTGTGCGCTGGTCCTGCTCCCTAGCAGGGGCTAAAACCACACAGCAGGCTTGTGCACACGACTTGCTGACGCGAGTCACCCCCAGGTATTCTCCCGCCGTGGCGCTCCCCAAGCCATTTACATGTTTATACAATAGACCAGATGGCGCTGGAGGAACTGTGTCCACAGCTTCCTTCCAAAGCAGCCCTGAGGCCCACGTTCGATGGGCCCGATGCAGGTCGATGTGGCAGTGCCTCTTCTCCAAGAAGGTGCTTAGCCGGAGGTGAGAGCGGAGGGCAGGCCTCTTCCCCGAATCAGGACCCTCCCGGGAGGCCCCACTCCCCTCCCCACTCACTTCCTTCATTTGGGGTCTTTGTGCAACTTTTCAACTGAACCAAGAAGAAAATCAGTATTTTTCTGAAGGTATAAAATCCACAGAAGTTCCCAAGTCAGCAGACTCAGCAGGAGGGCAGCTCTGCCTCCCCTCTGGCCTTGCTCACCTCTGACCATCCCCACTTTCTGCCCTGGTCTGGGGGGGCCTCCATCCCCGAGGCCCTGGTCTGGGGGGGCCTCCATCCCCGAGGCCCTGGTCTGGGGGGCCCTCCATCCCCGAGGCCCTGGTCTGGGGGGGCCNGGCCTCCATCCCCGTGGCCCTGGTCTGGGGTGGGGCCTCCATCCCCGAGGCCCTGGTTGGGGGGGGCCTCCATCCCCGAGGCCCTGGTCTGGGGGGGCCTCCATCCCCGAGGCCCTGGTCTGGGGGGCCTCCATCCCCGAGGCCCTGGTTGGGGGGGTCCTCCATCCCCGAGGCCCTGGTCTGGGGGGGCCTCCATCCCCGAGGCCCTGGTCTGGGGGGGCCTCCATCCCCGAGGCCCTGGTCTGGGGGGCCTTCCATCCCCGAGGCCCTGGTTGGGGGGGCCTCCGTCGCAGCAGCCTCTGTGCTTAGACTTCCCTCTCACTCTGCCTCCCGCCTTAGACAAGATGGGTTAACAGTGGTTTTTATGAGATGTGCTCAGCCTGTGTCTGTGAAGTTTCTAACCCAGGTTGACCATTTATACAAAGAGAAATGGTTGTGTTTAAGAAATCGACAACCGACAGGCTCCGTTGGCTCCGGGCTGCGGGCTGACAGTCACGTGCGGCCTGGGCGAGTTAGTGGAACCAGAAATTTCAGGCCCAGAGTGACAGTTTGATTCAGCCTGGGGACCCTGCTTAATTGTCCATGAAATCAGGCCTCGGCGCGGGCACGGCCAGCCTGAGGACCTGCAGCCAGCTCACCTGGGTGCTCGAGGGTAAACCGAGTGATAAGCCTCACGTGCCCGAGCCAGGCTCTGCCTCAGTCCAGAGACAAGGACTGTGGCCCAGGTCACCAGGAGATTGTCTGGGAACAGGGGTGCCTGCCCCTGCTGGGGGGGGTGGGCACCCGCGGGTGGGAGCTGACAGCCTGTTTGCTGAGAGAAAAGCCAGCAG